CAGGTAGACCGTATGCTCGTCTGTCTGCTCGGGCGATAAAAAAATAAAAAAATTTTGAAAATTGTAACGGAAAACGGTTATGGATTATTGAACTCTGTCCGTTGAACCTTGCAAGGGCACGGATACCATCGATGGATATCTGTACAGGGTTTTTGGTAATACGATATGTTCTGGGCCAATATCAGATATAAGGAGGAAACTTAACACCGTCAGCAACACACACAAACATTATCTTCGTTAATTTTTATACATCTTGCTCAACATAAGAACCGTGATTCTGTGACCGTACGTGAATACACGTACTAATACGTTTTGCCCTGCCACCTCTCCTGGTCGGAATATATTCAATTACCTTACCTTACCTTGTGTGTTTTTTTCTTTCTCGTGCACAAAACCTGTCCTTTTTGTGTCGGAATATTGTATATCGCTTCAACGATTAATTTATGTGGTAGATACGTTTAACACGTTGAACGCTTTGCGACCAACCGGTGAGCCTAGCGTTCTATATATACCATTCGGGCCAAGCCTTTATCAACTTGATATTTTCATTCTAAAATTTATAAAATGCTATAATTTGCACAGAAGATAGAAAAAAAAGCGACTTTAACTGTCTAGTTTTTAAGATATTTTAAAAGGCCTTGATAAAAAAACACAAGTTTCTCTTGGATTAGAAAACAGTGCCGTTCGGTTTGGCTAAAGGGCCACGCATACGCGTTTTATTTGATAGCTGCAATCTGTGGCTGTGTTGTTGTGATTTAAAAAGCTGGTACAATGCACAAGGTATAATATATCTAACTCAGGTATAAATGATCTATAGTTATACAATAGTTGTTGTTAAGTCATTAGGAATGAAATTGAAAAAAATTAAGAAATTGAATGTATAAGAATTAAAAAAACATAATAAAAAATAAATTACTCAAATTATTCTTACAATAAAAGTACGAAGTGCGAATCCGTAATACGCTGTTCGGAGCAGTAAAATCGTAATATCGTAAGTTTAAAATGGCTACAATCTGTGGCTTGTAGGAAGCGTTTACGTTGGAACTCTTAGGCGCATCACGCACCCTCATTGCCAAAACGGATTCTCACGGATCGTTTGGAGCCTCTGGGTCTGCGGAGGGACTTCGGTTCCCTCTGCATTTTGTACCGTATGTTCCATGGGGAGTGCTCTGAGGAATTGTTCGAGATGATACCGGCATCTCGTTTTTACCATCGCACCGCCCGCCACCGGAGTAGAGTTCATCCATACTACCTGGAGCCACTGCGGTCATCCACAGTGCGTTTCCAGAGATCTTTTTTGCCACGTACCATCCGGCTATGGAATGAGCTCCCCTCCACGGTGTTTCCCGAGCGCTATGACATGTCCTTCTTCAAACGAGGCTTGTGGAGAGTATTAAGCGGTAGGCAGCGGCTTGGCTCTGCCCCTGGCATTGCTGAAGTCCATGGGCGACGGTAACCACTCACCATCAGGTGGGCCGTATGCTCGTCTGCCTACAAGGGCAATAAAGTAAGATAAGGCTCACCGGTAAGCACCGTGGCCTCAATGAAAATACTCAATTTTTCATGTGGCGTTCAACGTGTTAAAACTATCAAAAACTTATGCGGTGATTGGCTCTATACACGTAGTTACGCTTCACCAGACAAATATGCGGCATTTTGAAAGTAAATTATGAAAATAAATGTTCTATTGTTTTTTCCACTGACTTTTGTAACATAGGTTTTCCTAGCATAAAAGTCAGGGAATATTGTTATTGTATACCTCATAAAAAAGCCATGTATATTATTATACTAGTGTTAAGAATCCTTGTACGTGTTTGTATTTTAAGAGGCTTGAATAAATATTATTATTATTATTATTGTATGGCTGTACGCTTAGTACGCTAGTGTTATTAAGCTAAATGCTAGTACTGATGTTTTTATAGGCGCATCTCCGCATTCGTTAGCCAAAAACGGTCACTCGGCTCTGCACATCGCCTGTCGGCACAACCACCCCGATATCGCCTTTGCACTTCTTGAACACGGTGAGTTTCCTAAACTATTTTAAATGCCATAAAACAACGGCTAATTTCCTATTGACACTATTTCTAATTGATGCTCATGTAAATAAATATGTATTTTGTAAGATTGAACACGATGTATATAAGCTTGAAGATATTGTTATAGACTAAAGAGTATAAAGATATAAAGGAAAAACGATTTTTCGTCGCCAAAATCCGCCATGTGCAAAAACTCTTAACTTAAAGAAATAAGCAGTGCCTTTGTACATAATTTTCCTATTACTCTGTACTATGTCTTTTTTTCTGTGTGTACATAAATAAATAAATAAATAAATAAACTCTATTTTGAATTAACGAGTAAAAACAATTTCGTATAAAATTTTATATGAAGGTGTATTTTTAAGAACTATATCAAATGAAAGCTATAGATAAATATTAAAGCTATAGATAGACACATAACAGTTTTTTTATACGGTAGATAGGGCTGTGAACTATACGAGAAGGTCAAAAAGTAAAAATCTCAAAATGTGCACATAGCAGATTTTGGTTTGACAACGACGTTTTGCTTAATAACATTAATAATATTACTTGACGTAAAATAAGAAATCGTTGTCGAGTAAATCAGAGTCAAATTTTTTTAAGAAAATCATGTTTTATATTCTGATAGGCTGTTAAACAGAAACCACATGTACGGAATTTCGTGCGTTTTTTTTTTGCTTAGATGGGTGAACGGGCTCACAGCCCACTTAGTGTTAAGTGGTTACTTGTAAATGCGCCCTCCACCTTGCGATATAAAATCTAAGGTCTCAGTATGGTGGTGGTACCTACCCGTGCGGACTCACAAGATGTCCTAACAGCAGTAAACATTTTTTTAAATGATTGTGTAACATATGACTTATTTGTAAGGTTTTGTTAATCGAAGGCCTCATATTCGTTTTGTAAGATTGTCATAATCGAAAGTGGAGTACTGTGAGGAATTGTTTGAGCTCATCATCGCCCCACCAATTGGAGCAGAGGCCATCCCGCCATCTGGTACCGCTGCGTTGACGCTTAACGTATTCTACGTACCGTACGGTTAGATGTATAGATCCTGTGATTACTGCGCGTTAGGGTTTGTCTTTGAAACGAGGTTTCAAAACAGTCCTCAGCGGTAAGCCGTAACCATAGACTATGAAACTGTTGTCGGTGAGCAACGGTATCCAATCACCATCAGATAGTTCGCAACACAGTTTGGCTATGAAGCCAGAGATAATATAAACATATGCTCTTCGTTCAGACGCCGATCCCGGGGTAAAATCGAAAGCCGGGTTCACACCTCTACACATGGCGGCACAAGAGGGACACGAGGACTGCGTCGAGATGCTCATCGAGAGAGGAGCTGACGTTAATGTACCTGCAAATAATGGTAAACTATACAATCCTCATAATCCAGTAGAGATTATTGAAAATTATTATTACTAGTGGTTCCGCAGTAGTCGAAATTCGAAATTACAAGTTTGAACATTATTAAGGCTCTGTTGTCAAAGACCATTAAATACTTCTTTATTCACAGATTTCACCAAGACCACACTATAGACAAATAATATTAAAGATAAACAATTTTAATCTATTCTCAATTTGACCACAGACTTTAAGCAATAAGTAAAGTTTGACAATAAACAATGAGTATATGTTATGTGTGTGTGTGTCAAATTCATGGTAGTGTGTGTAATGTTTTTTTTTATTGATTTAATGTATTATTAATGCATTATTTAAAAAAAAATATTAACATTCTTCTCTCTTTCTCTATATTCTCTATAAGTGTGGGAAATTTCATACTCCTCTGTCCGCGCTTTTTTCGTAAAAAGGGGTACAAAGTTTTTGCTTCACGTATTAATATATAGATTATCAATAATCATATTTCTTTTAATATATTTAAATCGTCGCTCTGTTTGTAAAAAACAATAATTAACTATACGTATATTTAAAAAAACCGCATGCCGGTTGAGTTTGTTCCGCCGGGTCTTCTCATTATTGTGGCTCTTATTGCAAGTAGCTAAGGGGAAGTTTTATTTCATAAAAATAAAAATGTTCAATGATGTATAAAAATAATTAAATTATTTCAGATTTAAATTTGAATTATTGTTTCTACCTAAATTAGTAAGATACATATTCATAATGCCAACAATAATGGGTATATTTAGAAACTTAATAAATTTAACGAAATAACCAAAATAACCTATTGATTTTTTTTTTTAAACTGACTTCAACAGTAGACCATATTTATGAGCACGAAAACATATCCATTGAAAAAAATTAAAAAATATATAATATATTTTCTAAATAGGTTTATGAATTCGGAATTCCGAAGTTCTTTGGTAACAAGCAGTAATAATAAAGCCACTGAATTGAGGGTCCTCATTTTGTTTTGAAGTCTGTTAATAAATTTAATACTTAAATTTCATTATCAACAGAAAGCGATCAATGACAATATATAGTGTTTGAATTTACGTGCACAAGAATATATGTGCATTAACACTTGCTCTGTGAGAAAAGGAGTGAACATCTTAGAACTAATTATCAGACTGTTGCAGTAATTTAACATTAAATATTTAATGGTCGCATAGTTTGTTTTAGAAATACAATCGAATACAATATACTAAATTAGAACACTAGGCTAGTTGATAATTATAGTATTACTCTCGTCGTCCGAAAACCTTTCTAATGTAGTATCTTCACATGGAATCCCCAAATACCCGAATCTAAGCCGGACTGGCCTCATCAATTTTCTACAAAGTTGCCATTTGTGTTTTTTTTTTATTGCCCTTGTAGGCAGACGAGCACACGGTCCACTTGATGGTGGGTGACTACCGTCGCCCATGGACTTCAGCAATACCAGGGGCAGAGCCAAGCCGCTGTCTGCCTCTTAACACTCTCTTACTACTTAATACTCTGTGTAAAGTAAATTGTTCCTGATTTATCGTAAACATACCGATAAGATGATTTAACGTTGGGCGTGGCCAGGTTTGACTCCGGTGCACTTGGCTGCATCGGAGGGTCGCACGGGCGTGCTGAAGGCGCTGCTGGCGGCGGGCGGGCAGTGCTCCGCCAAGACGCGCGACGGGTACACGCCGCTGCACGCCGCCGCGCACCACGGCCACCACGCCGCCGCCAGGACGCTCATCGATGCCGACGCTGACGTCACAGCTAAAGCCGCGCACGGGTACTAACTTACACGGGCTGATACACGGAGCTCACAGACGTCACGACGTGCTCGTTGTCTGGATTAATAGTTAACTAAGTTTTAAGCGTCAGAACGCTACTTTGAAAAAGCGGCGGGACACGATAACCCTCTAGGCAACGCAAAGCCGCCGTCCCCCAAAACATGTCTTGTCAGATACCCCGGATCCACTCTCGGTGTTTTTGAGCTCTTCAAGCACCAGTCACCGCCTTCGTCTTCGTCGTCGCGAAGAACTGCTCTAGCTAGAGTTAGTAATTCTCTCAGGTTGAGCCCGTAAGCTCACCTACCGGTTCGCGCGAAGTTGGATTGCCCTTTAGGCTACCAACTATTACGTAGGGACAAGAAAGAAAAGAATAACTAAGTTTTAATTAGTCTCCTCAATACTGCAACTACCATTTGACTCCATCCTTCAACTTTGACATTGAAATAAAAATAATACACGCTTCTACGTTCGAGAAACTTTGTACACTTGGTGTTACCGTTAATGACCGATAGATGGCGTGAAAGTTTGATTGCAACCTGTATGCTTAGCAACAGACGGCTTAAAGAAAATGACCTAACTTCCTTAGTATTAAGTCAATGATTATCTAGAAGATTGCACAAAGTGGGAATGAGTTGCTCACTCCGGGTATTTCAATATTGCAATAATTATTACGTTATAATAGCACTTGTAAAAATGAAGATTTAAAAAAATATTTATATTTAAAAAAAATATCTAATATTAAAAAAAAAACATGCCCGCTGAGTTTCTTGCTAGTTCTTCTCAGGACGGAGGCTAGTTTTTGTGAATTAGCGGTAGTTCTTTTTGACGTTTAACAAGTATGTACTTTCATTTATGTTGAATACAAAAAAAATGATTTGATTTGATTAAGTAACGCGTCGTATTCAAGTTGGTTCAATAACATCCCTCGTGTTCCCTTGGCAGGTTCACGCCGCTGCACCAGGCCGCGCAACAAGGACACACGCTTATTATACAGCTGCTCTTGAAGCACAACGCCGACCCCAACGCGCTGTCCGCCGTGAGTTCTTTTTTTATTGTTTTTTTTAATTTATTTCTTAGATGGGTGGACGAGCTCACAGCCCACCTGTTGTTAAGTGGTTACTGGAGCCCATAGACATCTACAACGTAAATACCGCCACCCAACTTGAGATATAAGTTCTAACGTCTCAAATAGAAACGCATTACTGCTTCACGGCAGAAATAGGCAGGGTGGTGGTACCTACCCGTGCGGACTCACAAGAGGTCCTACCACTAGTAATTACGCAAATTATAATTTTGCGGGTTTGATTTTGATTACACGATGTTATTCCTTCTCCACGGAAGTCAAATGTGAACTTTTGTTCAGTACGTATTGCATTAAAAAAATGGTACCTGCCTGGGATACGAACAGCAGTGCATCGCTTAACACGAATGCGCCGGACGTCTTATGCTTTAGGCCACGTCGACGACGACATCTAACCAACAAAAAAAAAAGTGAGCTAATGAAGTTTTCTCCTCAAACAGAACGGTCAGACGCCGTGCGCCATTGCGGACCGGCTCGGCTACATCAGCGCGGTGGAGGCGCTGCGCCCCGTCACCGAGAACACGCTCAGTCAGGCCGTCGGGGACACCGGTAAGTGACGTGCTTCAATAAGACTCCTACCTTGAGACATGAGGTCGCAATCTCGATGTTTTGAAGTGAAACTTCTTTAGAATCGTTGTGATTTCAAACTCGATGAAACGAAAAAATAAGTCCATAGAGACACAAACACATAAATGTATAGGATTCAGCCGGCGAGAGAATGAGATAGAACACATTAGACGTTCTCGGTGTCCTCTTTGTGCGACTCTTCGTAGCATCCCCACTATCGTCTACCGAACATTGTCCATATGTATGCTCCTGTGTAGTGGGATAGTCAGTATATCTATATCTTATTTATAAGTTTCACTTATACCGTGTGTGACTTGCAAACACACACACTTTTTTTATTGGCCTTGTAATCAGACGAGCATACGTTCTGATGGTGAGCGGTTAGTGTCGCCCATGGACCTCAGTAATTCTAGGAACAGAGCCAAGCAGCTGCCTACCTTTAAGTACTCTCCACAAGCTTCGCTTGAAGGACATGTCATAGCGCTCGGGAAACACCGTGGAGGGAACCTCATTCCAAAGCCGGATGGTACGTGGCTAAAATATCTCTGGAAACGCACTGTGGATGAATGCAGTGGCTCCAGGTTATTTGGATGATCTGTACTCCGGTGTCGCGCGGTGCGTTGGTAAAAACGAGAACGAATTGTAAAGATGATGTCCACTATGACAATAACAGTGGTACAACCTATGCGGGTTAACAATACGCTTTGCCGCCAGAGAAACGACGACCGGTATTTTGTCAATGCCAATGACCTCGCGCAACCTACACGGAACCAAGCTTAGTGTTTGTCGCGAAAACTTGTACCAGAAAATTAATGGTTAAATAAAATTTCGCAAAGAGATCTCTTTGATCTAAATATATATTAAGGAAACACGCACAAGTTATAAAGCTGTGCCGTACAGACGTAAACAGTGGGAACGCTGGATTAGCGCCAAGCGCCAAGCGATTGCAGCGTGATTTTGAGAAAAGAACGAATGTTTTGGTTGGGTAATTAACCCTTTTGGTGCTTACTTTATTTTCAGATATTTGACGGAAATTGCCAAAAGAATTTAAAAAAAAAAAGTACCTTATTTAAAACTTTAACTTAAAGAAAAATTCATAGTAAAATAATTTTAAATATTTATTTACATAATGTTATTAAGTTATTAAAAAAGTTATAGATGTGCGCGCTAAGACACGTCCGTACATGTCCATACCTAATATCTATAATCAAACTGCGCAATAGTCGATATTCAGACGCTGCGTACTTTATACGCATTGATAGAGAGTCTGTCTATCGACGCTTCGCGCTGTAAGGGTTACGCGTAAATACCTTCGCTTCGATCTCATGTCGCGAGCCGGACTCACGGACTCCGATAATCGCAATCTCAATACACCTGTCCTGGTAAAACTGGAAAGGCCTTCGGGCCACCAGTAATCATTCAATCCTAAAATAAATAAAAAACAATCGCAAGATTTCTGTTTTGTCGTTCACTTTCTGTTTTGGAATGCCCACTGAGTTTCTCGCCGGATCTTCTCTCAGTGGGTCGGTGGGAGAAAGGAGAACAAAAAGTTCTGGAGGATGGAGGAACCCGCCCTGTGTCGTGAACTAAACAAACTATTCTTGATAGTTTGTGTTTACTAAGTCTTCCACACAAAAAAAACGGGGGTTTTCGGTCGCACTACCGAAAACTTTCGACTAAGTACACACAATAGTCCAATTTCCTATGTTTAATGTCAATATCAGGTCATAGAATCTGAGGTCGTCGTGGCCTAAAAGATAAGACGTCCAGTCCATTCGTGTTGAAGCGATGGACCGGTGTTCGAATCCCGCAGGCGGGTACCAATTTTTCTAATAAAAAACGTACTTAACAATTGTTCACGATTGACTTCCACGGTGAAGGAATAACATCGTGTAATAAAAATCAAACCCGCAAAATTATAATTTGCGTAATTACTGGTGTTAGGACCTGTTGTGAGTCCGCGCGGGTGGGTACCACCGCCCTGCCTGTTTCTGCCGTCAAGCAGTAATGCGTTTCGGTTTGAAGGGTGGGGCAGCCGTTATAACTATACAACTTATATCTCAAGGTGGGTGGCGCATTTACGTTGTAGATGTCTATGGGCTCCAGTAACCACTTAACACCAGGTGGGCTGTGAGCTCGTCCACCCATCTAAGCAATAATAAATAAATAAAAGTCTATTATTAATTGTTTTTTTACACTATACAAAATAGCCCAATATTTCGTCAAATAGAAACATAATATACACTTTTAATAATACATACCGCCTCATTCAACTGGTTTATAAAATTGCGTAATGGACATTGAGTGTAATCTGTGTTGCGAAATACTATAAGGTCAGTATCATTGATACATTTAATATCGAACTTTACAACATCGTCAGAAAACACAAAATGCTATAAAAGCTTAATTACATTTTGCACCTAACAAAATCCGACATAATTTTATTCCAATCTATTTATAATTATGGCATCACCCTGTGAATTGATCAGCGTAACATATGTTTTGGACAAAAATAGGATAAAACATTTTAATTAAGTTGTGTTTATTACATATTTACATTTTCTATGAAAATATGTTTATTATGTCTTACTGTCTCTTCTTTGATAAATTTTAAATTTAAACTAGTATGTAGTTACATGTAGTTACAGTAGTATTTTTATTGCTTTGGATTTGAGTATCGATGGACGACCTAAGGTTTACCTTGGCAGAATGGCTACCAGAGTCCATAGACACCAACAATTTACAACACCCCGAGATAAGAGTCTCATTTCAACAACAGCTATCTACACTACAACAGCTGCTCTATCCTTCAAACCCGGAACGCATTACTGCATCACGGCAGAAATAGGCAGGGTGGTGGTACCTACCTACCGTACGGACTCACTAGAGGCCCTACCAGCAGCAACTTATTATGTGTTTATTTGACACGTTTAAGCAATACCTAAATACGAATGTTATACGTAATATTTATTGAACACATTAAACTGGTTACAAGTTTCCAAAAGTAAATGCTCACAGTGATTGAATTTAAGGTTACGTGCAATAGCTATAACATAAGATTCAATGTCAAAGCTTCCAAAATAGTAGCCGTGATTTTCGTGCACAGAAACTATATTTGAGTCCTTAGAACTTATATCTCAAGGTGGGTGGCGCATTTACGCTGTGGATGTCTATGGGCTCCAGTAACCACTTAACACCAGGTGGGCTGTGAGCTCGTCCACCCATCTAAGCAATAAAAAAAAAGATGTGTGGTGTCGTGGGACACCGGATAGGAACGAAGTTCCCAATTATAAAAATATTAATTTAAAGTTCTATTCGAGGTATGAAGAAAGAGAGAGAGAGAGACAGACAGACAGACAGAGAAACATGCGACGCCGCACAGCTTACAATAGCTTACTATAGCAAAAAGTGTCGTGACAACTTTTCGTAAGAATTTATAGCAAAAAGTGTCGTGACAACTTTTCGTAAGAATTTTTTCCGTCTAGCCCCCTTTCACAACGCGCGATAAGGAACGTCGTTCCAAAAAAAAAAAAACGAATAAAACAATTTTTTTATAGGAAGTACCTAATTAAATCCTTTCCGAAACCTTTGTAAAATCTGTTCGAAATTGAGCCAGTATTGCTACTAACATTTTATGTGTAACCAAAATAAGTGATCACGTTACTAAACTTGGTCGAATGAATCAGTATTCGTCCTTTATATTCAAGACGATCACACGAGTCGAGTATATTTATCGAACGACGTACGTGTAACTATGTATGTGAATGCTTTATTAGCCCGCCTTTAATAAATTGATAATATCGATATTTATGAAAGTAATTTTGACCAAGCTTCAAGACATGCGATGATCTAAAAAAATATCACGTATTAAGGACCGACGACAAAACAATAATTTAATATTTTAACGGTGATGACTAGGAAAATTAGGAATGTTATTCTTACGAAAAAGTGTTCTTTTTATTACCGTTGTAAGCATACGGTCCAACTGATTATGTATATTCATCGTCTCCCATAGACGTCAGCAACACCAAGGGCACAGCTAAGCCGCTGTATATTCATGGTCACCCATAGACATCAGCAATATCAGGAGCACAGCCAAGCCGTTGTATATTCATGGTCTCCTATAGACGTCAGCAATACCAGGGGCACAGCCAAGCTGTTGTATATTCATGGTCTCCCAGAGACGTCAGCAATACCATGGGCACAGCCAAACCGCTGTATATTCATGGTTTCCCATAGACATCAGCAATACCAGGGGCACAGCCATGCCGCTGCCTGCTGCTGAGGACTCTCTTCAAACCTCGTTTCCAAAGCGATATATCATAGGGTTAACTGATTTTTATGCTCATATTATATATTTATTTTAAAATTTAATATTACTATTTGGGCAAAGTCTCTATCTGATCCAAACCGCTTTTTACTGTTTCTAAAAACACAAATTTTATGAACACTTTAAACAACCTTGATACATTTTCAATAAATTCCTATAGTGACTAACGATAAAATAATGAAGATTCCAAGGTAGGATCTAAAAAAATTTGTATATAGAAGAAACATGTGGATTATTGGTCAAATATGTACTTACGTCAGCTTGCAAAGTATACTATGTAAATACATTTCATGTTTCTCGTAACGCGTACAATAATACATTTCAATGAGCGATTCTGTCCTACTGACACACCAGAACGTTCTTTGTAAGCAAATCAATTTGATATTTATCGACAACATGGCCACGTCATATCGTCAGAACAATGCATCAGTAAATATAATTGAATTGTACTTTTGCATTATATGAGATCGAAATACGAAATTCTCCATTGAGGGGCGAGCAATGGTTTATTTTGTACCGTGACATTCCAAAAACGTGAGTGGATAAAGAACACTCTCTATTTTAGAGCTAATTATTATTTTTTTGGTTAGAATGGTGGACGAGCTCACAGCCCACCTGGTTTTTTTTAAGTGGTTACTGGAGCCCATATACA